GGGCCCCCAGAGGCCGAAAGTAGTGAAGAACCGCCCGTCGTGATTTTGTTCACAGCGCGAGGGGGTCTCACCGAGCGCGTTCCACTACTCGCAAAGCGCCTACTCGCAAAAGTCAGAGAGAAGACGGCAACAACAACAGCAACAACAACAGCAACAATTGCAACAGCAACAACAACATCAACAGCAACAACAACATCAACAGCAACAGCAACAGCAACAGCAACAGCAACAACAACAACAACAGCAACAGCAACAGCAGCAACAACTTCCTATATGTCCTGGGTCGTACATCCCCAGCGGCGGATCCGGGCAACATGCGAGCAGATACTCAGCGAGCAGTTGAGCCCGCTCCCCTTAGGGTTAAGTCGGGCCTGTCGCTCTACAGGGGGAATATTCAAAGATAGTCCAAGAATGTCTGGGGGCTATTTTTTAACAGTTTGGCAATTTGGGGAGTATGTTTTGAGTACTTTTTATTATTCACCCAAAACCCCCCTGTAGGGCGACAGGCCCGACCTAACCTTAGGGTCCGGGGGGGGCCCTGCCAGGGCCCCTCCCGGCCCATCCCGCCCGAGCCCGCCGCGGCGGCGCGCGAGGAGCCTCCCCACGGGAGGAGGCCCCAGGGAAGGGCGCGAGCTGCCAGAGGGCGGCCGACCCGCCGCCTCGGGGGGCCCTTCAGGGGTTCTTGGTTTCACGTCGGAGCTGTCCTCGACAGGAGGAGTGTCCAAAAATAGTCAAACGAATTAATCTGGGGACGATTTTCCTAGTCAAACAGAATAGTCAAACAAATAGTCTGGAGTGTCCAAAAATAGTCAAACACATAGTCAACAAAATAGCCTGGGTTCATTTGTTTTACGTCGGGCCTTTCCTCCACAGGAGGAGTGTCCAAAAATAGGAAAAATCGTCAGGGGACGATTTTTCTAGCATCTTTGACGTTTTGGAAACATGTTTGGAGGTATTTCTCATTGTCCTCGAAAGGAGGAGTGTCCAAAAATAGTCAAACAAATAGTCTGGGGACGATGTTGTAAGTATCTTCGACTTGTTTTGAACATGTTTGGACTATTTCTCAGTATTCGTCCAATGTCTGCTTGTAAAACAGCCTAAACACTAGTAAAAAGCGTTTAGCACATCGTAGAATATGTTAGGACGGTCGAAATAGTTGTTATTATATATGTATGTATGTATGTATGTATGTATGTATGTATGTATGTATGTATGTATGTATGTATGTATGTATGTATGTATGTATATATATATATATATATATATATATATATATATATTACAAACAAAAAAACGTCAGGGGACGATGTTTCTAGTATTTGGGCGTTTTGGAAACATGTTTGGAGGTATTTCTCACTGCTCTTCCAAGATCTGCCTGTAGGGGGGCATGCCGGGCCTAACAGTTGCTGTTTGTTTATGTGATTGTTGTCTCCGTTTGTGTTCGGTCACGCGCAGAGGGGGATAGGGTGAGGGGGCAAGGCCTCTCAGAAGCACCCCCGCCTCTTAGAAGGCGCGGGCCCTCTCTGCAAATGCAGGGCCCGCGCCTGCTGAGACGCAGCCTCCTTCGAAGAAGCCTTCCCCCCTCCCCCATTTCCCCCTCTGCGCGCCGCTAGTGGAAGGCCGGCAAACATACGCAGAAGATGTGTCGGAGGCTCCCAGGGTCCATTTCGATCTGATCGATCCGGCTCGATGTCGGTTTCGGCCGGCCAGGTCCGATTCGATTCCGGTATCCCGAGGATCCGCGGCGCTGTTGTGCATCCCAGAGATCCAGCGCATTGAAAAGATCATGACAGGTTTTTGCTCGGCGTTCGGCTCCTGGGGGCCCTTACCGAGCCTCGGGAACCTCAAACGACGACTCAGGATGGTCCTGGGGAATGGGTCGAGACTTGCGGGGACCCCGTATTGAAAACAACACGACATCGGATCTTTGGGATTACGGCGCGGCCGATGCGATCCGATTGCAGCGACGTGCCGAGGCGGCCCAGTCCGACGCGCGTCCCGATCCGACCGGGTTTTCCGATCCGAAGCGGAGTGGTCGGGCCCTCCTCCAGATCCTCCTGCTCCCCAGCGCTCCCTCTCATGACCTGGCAACGAGCACCCACGCCCATGGGACGCCCAGGTTTCTCAGAATGGACTTCCCAGGGGGCCTATTATGGGTGTGTATTGTCCGATGGGGGTCCCCGATCGACGAGGAGAAAGCCCCCCTCGGGGTCCGCAACTCGCACCCATGCCTAAGCGCCCTTGTCGCCTTGCCCTTCCCCGCTCTTTCTCCCGAAAGGTTTGAGTGCCCGCTGCTCTCCCCTCACCCTCCGTCTGGTCATCGCTCGGACGTGTGCATATTTTTCGGCGGGGACCATCGAGGAGCATCCTTGCTCACCTGACAACAAAAGCACGCACGAAACCAACACACGCACGGGACCTGGACGTCCGAGCGATGGCAAGCCGTGCGCTCGTGGCCCCGCGCGCGGCGCATCCGCCGGCCACCCGCGCTGGGGCGGAGGACTGGCGCCGTGGCAGGAGCACGGGGGCGCCCTGGGTGCGGCGCTGGCCGCGTGCCAGGCTGCCGGAGGCCTGGAGCCCCTCGGGCTGATCGCAGCGGCCCCCCAAAATCGTGGCATCGCGCGGGCGTGTGCCGATGTTTTCTCGTCGAGGACCATCGAAGAGCATGCTGGATCATCTTGCGAAACACGCACGCACGACACCGAAGAAGGCACGGAGAACGGACGTCCGAGCGATGGCGAGAAGTGGGGTCCGAGCAGAGGGGCCGAAGGGCCGCTCCGCATCGACGAGGTATCGATGATACGGCCCGATGTGGAGCCCGAGTTTCTCCACGCCGATGGTGTCGATGCATCGCCGACATCGCCGATGCATGGCCCATGCATCGGCGATGCGGCGCGATCCTCCGACCCCATCCACTCGGACCCCGTCTAGGAAGCCTCTACTCTCGCAGTGGCCTTCTGGGGGGATCCGTTCGCGCAAACCGCATCCGTCCGCGGCTGTCTCTCATGAGAGCGGCACCCATGCACCGTAGCACCCAGATCTTTGGATTCCGATTTTTTCGGTCGCGATCGGTAGTGACCGATCGGCAGACCACTTCGGTCGCAGCCGATTTTGAGGCAAATTGGTTGCGGCCAATTGTGGAATGTGAAGCAACATCGGTAGCGATCGATCTCGTCGGTCGCGACCAGAAATCTTTGCACCCACTGATCAGGGCATGGGTAGACTCCCTTCGGGCCCTTCTCCAACGCAGTACGGTGCATTGTTTACCAGCTCCGAGGGACGAACAAGTACGCACCGTACCATTATTGGGTCGAGGATCGATGACGCCTCGGGAGACGCCAACGCCGCACAGTGCACACAAGTCGTCCGCGGATGTATTCCCGCACAGGGAGGCGTAGCCAGAGAGAGAGAAAGAGAGTGAGAGAGGAAGAAAGAGAGAGAGAGAGAGGGAGAGACAGATATCGGTGGTGAGGGGGTGAGATCGAAGTGGAACGGAGAGCCCCCCCTACCGGGAAATCGGTTTCGGTTTCGTGTTCGTGCGTGCCGTGCGTGCGGGCGAGGCGAAGCTGCGTGGGCGGGCGGGAAGAAAGTCTCCTCCGGCTGAGGCGCGGCCGGACCAAATGTTTCCTTTCCGGGGGCCGGTGCCGCGCGGTGTCCCGCCGGTGTCCCGCCTCCGGCTGAGGCGCGGCAGGACACAATGTTTCTTCTCCGGGGGCCAGTGCCGCGCGGTGTCCCGCCGGTGTCCCGCCGGTGTCCCGTCGGTGTCCTGATGATGATGATGATGATGATGATGATGATGATGATGATGATGATGATGATGGTGGTGATGATGATGATGGCGATGGTGATGGTGATGGTGATGGTCATGGTGATGGTGATGGTGATGATGATGATGTCGATGATATTGATGATGATGGTGATGGTGATGATGATGATGGTGTCCCGATGATGATGATGATGTTGACGATGTTGAAAACGATGATGATGATGATGATGATGATGATGATGATGATGATGGTGATGGTGATGGTGATGGTGGTGATGATAATGGTGTCCCGATGATGATGATGATGATGATGATGATGATGATGATGATGATGATGATGATGATGATGATGATGATGATGATGATGATGACGATGGTGTTGCTGCTGGTGGTGATGATGGTGTCCCGATGATGGTGGTGTTGATGATCATGATCATGATCATGATGATGACGAATGATGAAATGATGGTGATGAAGATGATGGTGGAGATGACGATGATGGTGTCCGATTATGATGATGATGCTGTTGGTGATGATGGTGATGATGATCGTGTCCCGATGATGGTGATGTTGATGACGATGGTGGTGTCCCGATGATGATGACGTTGATGATGATGAGGATGATGAGGGTGATGATGAGGTGATGGTGATGATTTTGATGATGGTGGCCCGATGGTGGTGATGATGATGCTGATGTTGATGATGATGATGTCCCGATAGTGTCCAGGATAGTGAGATCGATTGTGAGGTCGATAGTCAGATCGATTGTGGGATCGATCGAATGAAATAGATCGAGTGAGATCGATTGTGAAATCCATCGGGTGAGATCGATCGAGCGAGACCGATAGTGAGATCGATAGTGAGACCGATCGAGTGAGGCTTTGGTTCCCCCCCCCCGAACCTCCTTATCACCCGAAGGGTGGTCGTATAGGTGTGTATATAGAGATATAGGGGGAGAGAGAGAGAGAGAGAGAGTTAGAGAAAAAAGAAGAGAGATCGCGCGAATGTCTTCGGGACGGTCCGCTCGCGAGGGGGCACCCCGAGAGGCCGCTCTCGACAGGCGCAGAGCTGATGGCGTGGGACGGCCCACGTGCTCCGCCAGCGTGCCCAGGGGCATCCAAGGACCTCCAGGACAGAAGTCCTCCGAGGCCTCCGTGGGCTTCCCAGGGCGACTGGAAAGCGTCCAACCGCCACCGTCAAGGAGGAGGAGGAGGAGCAGGAGAGGTTCCCAGGGGCCTCCCAGGACTACAATGCTATCTCCTGGACTCCTCTCCAGGGCGTCCACGAGAGCCTCCAAAGGTCTTCCGGCAGGAGGGATTCGTTTCGTAGCGTTCCATGCGCGGTGGACAGAGTGACGAGTGAATCGGCTGGACGGTCGTCGCGCCCACCTTTCGCATGTCCTCCTTTTCCTCCTCATCGTCCTCCTCCTCCTCCTCCTCCTCTTCTACGGTCCGCACGTCGTCCTCCTCCTTCTCCTCCTCCTTCTTCTTCTTCTTCTCCTCCTCCTCCTCCTCCTCCTTCACGGTCCGCTCCTCATCCTCCTCCTCCTCCTCCGTAGCCATTTTGGCTCAAGCCATTTTGGCTCAAGCCATTTTGGCTCAAGCCATTTTGGCTCAAGAGCTACCTGCAAGGTGGCTGTTCTGCCCGCCCCGCGCGTGGATTCCTCTCATGCGGCTGGCGATGGCTGGCCCCGTGTGCTCGTAGCGGTGATCTGGCTTGTCTGCTGTATCCTACCACCTATGCCTGGCGTGCGGTCTTACGTCGACGCGCTGGCAGTGGGCAAAGCTTTGTCTCCTGCTCAGACTCGCCGCCTTGAGCGGGATTTGTGGTACAGAACAGCGCACTCCCAGCCTGGCAAGCGCTTCGTGGAGGTCTGGGAGCATGACCGCCATGACGTGCGCCTTATGGTCAAGGGCAAGGAACTCCACAGGAAGCTGGACGCTGCTGCTGCTTCGCCTGCGGCGTCTGGGAAGGTCGCGGCCTACCGCGCCTGGAAGGATGGGCGCCTCACGCGGGGCGAGTACAAGCACGTGAGGGAAGTGCTGGTACGCGCTGATCGCGGAAAACACATACACACGGCGCTGGGGCCGCAGCTGGACTTCAAGCGTGCCGCTTGGACATACATTCGTGATGGTGCTGACGATGATGTGGACGCCCCCGCTCCTGTTCAACTACATGGCCCTGATCGTGACCCTCCCTGTGGCGAAGACCAGGCTGTTGACGGCGACGAGAAGTTCTCGAACATTCTCGTACGCATGGAACAGATGGAGAAGGCCAGCGCCACTCTTTCCTCTTGTTCTGCGACGTGGGAGGCCTTGGACCAATGCACTGCCGCTCTGACCGCGCAGGGGACATGGTGGCCCTCGCCAGCCAGCGTCTTCCCCACTCGGGTTGACTGCGCCCACCTCGCACAGAGCAGCGCCTTCAACTACGACCTCGGGCAGGTATCTGGCATCGTTCGTCCTGTCGCTGATGACGCTCTACATGCTGATGGCGACCCTTATGCTGCTGCACGCGTGGAACTGGGTGCTGACGGCTCAGTTGTTCCGTCTGCTGCCTCTCATGGACATCTGGCTGCTCCACCCGCCCCTCGTGATGTTGAGCGAGTCCCAGGCCTTCCGGCTGCGCTTGAAGCTCGGTTTGCGGCCCTTCGGAACGAGTGCGACGACGCCATTCAGAGCTTGTCTAAAGCTATCGTTCCCTGTGTTCGTGAGTTTGTGGAAGAAGCTCTCAGAGGCCAGGGCCAAATTATCGCAGAGGCCCTACGCTCCCATCTTGAACCGCTGGTGACCGCCTTCAACGCTCACGCCGTGACCACAACTTCGTTGGCTGCTGGCGCTTCCGGCGCCCCTGGTAAGGAGAAAGTGGGTCACCATGCTGGTCTTCTGGGCCCCTCTACTGACGATGGTGCTGCTGAGGGTCCTGCCGCTGATGATCACGCTCGCCCTGAGTTTCTTCCGTCACCTGACGATGCTGCTGGCGTGCTTTCTGTTCGTCAGCCTCCTGCAGGGCCTTTACCTCGTGAAGGTGGTGCTGCTGCGGGCCCTGCCTCTGCTGGTCTCGTTCTCCTCGAGCTTCCTCCTCTTCTTGACGATGCTGCTGGCGTGCCCGCTGTACTTCAACCATCTGCTGGGCTTCAGCCTCACGTCGGCGGTGCTGCTGCAGATCCTGCCGCTGCTGATCCCGCCCGGCATGCGCATGAGCCTCCTGCGGGGCATCTTCCGCCACCTGACGGCGCTGGGCGGCCTCCCTCTGAAGGCGCTGCGCAGCTACTTCCTGAACGTGGGCTTCATGATGCAGACGCTGATGGCCAAGGGTGTGTGTTGGGTCCCTTAGCTGCTAAATCTGGGCTAACGCGGTTGGGGCGTGTGGTGCTTGACGCTCCTTTCTTTCGACATCGTGACCTACTACAGTTTCGCACTTGCAGCAAGGCGCGATCCGTTCACATCGACATATTGGTCATGGGCGGCGTCCCCGACTCGATTCCTGCGAGTGACCCTCCACATGCGGGGCAGCGCGTGCGGGATGCAGAAGTTGATGTGCACACCTTCATGGGCGTGTGGTACCTGGTGCACATTTCTTTCGACAAAACGACTCATTGCCGCTTCGCTCCTGCAGCAATGCTCTTCTCGCTCACGTCGACTTCCTTATCGTGCGCGGTATTACCGACCCGCGCGGCGCCATGGAAGCCGTCTCCTTCTTCTCGGCGGAGGCTCCCCCCGCCATCGTCTCTGTTGCCCCCGCGGGCGCGGAGATTGACACAGAGATTGACACAGATTCTCCGAACTTCGTGTTCGATGAGGCGCTCACTGACGTTGACTCGTTCGTGACCGCCGGCTCCTACAACCTCCGTGACACCAGCGACCACGTGGACGTCGGCACCGAGGCCCTGAGAGGCTCCGAGGCGGGCGCGCGCGAGGCGGGTGCGTGAGGATGCATTTTTTTTCTTCTTGGGACGCTCGCTCCTCCTCCTCCTCCTCCTCCTCCTCCTCCTCCTCCTCCTCCTCCTCCTCCTCCTCCTCCTCCTCCTCCTCCTCCTCCTCCTCCTCCTCCTCCTCTCTCTTTTTAGAAGATGGGCTGGACAATGAAGCAACCACAGGTCTTCCCAGCAAGGTTGGACGGCCTGCTTGTGCCGCCCACGAGGTCCAGGCGCCCCATGACCTCCATAAAAATCCCGGGGGACCAGGGTGCTTCCAGCGGCTCTTCGGGACCTCCCCGGCAGGCCTGCAGGGGCGCACCCAGGCAGGCGGCGCAAGAACATCGCGTGGGACGGCCCACTTGTGCCGCACACGTCTCGTCCTCCCTGCTCGTACCCTCCGTTCTTCTCGTGTTGGCTCGGCCGCATGACTCAGTGGCAGAGCGATTGGATTCCCAATGCGAGCTGATGGGTGAGCTGTGCGAGTCTTGTTGAATAATGCGCTTGGCTAAAAAGATAATCAAAAACCTTGCGCCGCAAACGCGCCCACAGCTTTCTCAGGAATTCCAGGAGGCCTCCGTGGACATGCAGTAGACTTCCCGTGCCTGGCGAGGCCCTTGGAGGACCCTCCAGGAATTCCAACAAAGACGTCCTACGGCGCTGCTGGGCTGCTCATTCTCGAGCAGCGCGTACATGTGCGCTTTACATACCTGCGAAGCTGGAGCGCGCCTCTCGTGCATTATGAGGTTTGTCGAGATTCGCCGCGCGATCTGACAAGTAGCAGCCACAAGAGGCGTCCCCAGCGCTGAGAAGGCATCCGTGCGTCCAAGGGCCATGACGACGCCTTGCTGATACAGGGCTCGCGGCCGAGCACGCACGTGCTTGCTTCAGGCTCAGCCACCACAGCAGCTCATCAGAGTGTCGGCTGGGCACAGTGATACGTGACAGTCCCTTGTGTGTTTCCCCCTCGCACTTGTGACCCTTTCGAGGATGTATTGCGACAAGGGACCCCTGGGCGACCCCACGTGGCCACAGATGGGTCAAGTGGGCGACTTTGAGACCCCGTCTAGTCCTGGCTAGGCCGTGCCTCCACAGGACTGGACTATTCCAGTTTACCTTGCAGCGCGGCCTCAAGCGAAAACAAGTAAACGATGCGGGAGTGTAGCACACACTCGCCCACACATGTTGTCTGACGGCGCATGCAGGCGCTGGACAGGCAGATCGGTCTTTCATGCCCATCGTGGACACCAACACACACACACGTGTCCATTCCAGCGGCGAGGTGATGACACCGTCGCGACGCGCTTAGCAGGTTCACGCTTGGGCGAATTCTTGACTTCCCGCGTATCCCCACCAGCCCATCCAGAAACGATGCCCAGGCGAGTTGCTTTGATTTGGGAAGCGGGGGAACACACAGGAACAAAGAGCTGGAGACACCGTCGTACACCAAGAGGGGGAGGGAGGAGGAGGAATCGGAGGAGGAGAAAGAAGAAGAGGACGCCGGGGACCTCTTGGAGTTTCTTGGGTGCCTCGGGGAGGCTCTTGGTGCCTCTTGGGGGTCTCTTGGGAGCCTCTTGGAGGCCTCTAGGGCGCCTCCTGGGGCCTCCTTGGCGCCTCTTGGGGCTGCCTGGAGGCGTTTTTGGGAGCCTTGGGAGCGCTCTTGGGGCCATCTTGGGGGAGATCGATCAACCAATACGGGAGCTCCAATTACGACCCCCCTCGGGAGCCCCAACAGTCGCCTCATGAGCCCGTCTTGGGGCGCTCTTGGGGCCGAATTGGGGCTCTCTTGGGCCTCTCGTGGGCCCTCATGGGCCCTCTTGGAGCTGCCTTGAGGCTTCGGAAGGACATCGGAAGCGAAAAGGCGAGAATGCACAATTCTGGGATTTTCCGTAAGTTTTTGACTGATTTTGGCATCTTGGCGGCCTCCTGGGGAAGCTCTGTGGCCACTCGGGGCCGTTTTGGAGCGGTCTTGGGGCTTCTTGGATCATCTTGGGAGCCATATCGAGTCATCTTGGGCTATATTGGGCCATCTTGGAAGTCATCTTGGATGCTCTGAGGCCCTCCTAGAGCCTTCTTGGGCCATCTTGGACGCTCCATCGACCCGCGACCCCACCCCTCCAGGTCCGGGGAAGGGGGTTAAGGGTGAGGGGTAAACCCCTCCCCGAAGGGGCAGAAGGGGGTTGGAAGAGGAGCCTTCCTAGACCACCCACGCCCAGAGGGCTGGTGGGATTTTCATCTGGCGCAGCACAGACAGACAGACGGAGACAGAGACGGAGACAGAGACAGAGACAGAGACAGAGACAGAGACAGAGACAGAG